CCTGTTGCTGTGGAGCCAGATACATCGGTCGTTCAACGCGCATCCTGTCAAAAAGGGTCAAAGAACACTATCCAGCGTGCCTACAGAAGGGAAATAATGGCCATATAAGGAGTGCAATAATCGAACATCTCGTCAACACTGGTCATTCCATCTCAACAAACACCTCCTTCAAAGTAATCTACAAAGTGAAGAACAACCTTCTAAAGGCAGTACGATTCCGTCTTCTTTGCATCGCAGAAGCCCTAGCCATTCAGTTGGTGGAACCAGAACTATGCATACAAAAGAAAATTATTCAACCACTTCTACTCGCATGGTAACAACTCCGTTGATTTGACCTAACTTTTGTTTGTTTGTTTGATTTGACCTTACTTCTGTTTGTATGCTTATTTTTTCTAACTTAAAACCCTTGTGTAATTCTGTATATTATTTTGTTTCCATGTACACCCTGAGCACAACACATTCATCAAACTATTCCTGCCATTACGTAACTCTTATTTAACATTCATTTATGACAACTCATCACTTTTATTACTATCCTCTTATATCAACATCCAATTCATCTGAACTTACTAATTGTATTTTCGTTTGACAAATTTAATGTATATACACACACACAAAATAACCATATATATTTGTTATGTTGCTGCTGCTGAGTGGTTAATAGTAGTTTTCCCCGTCGCCAAATTGTTATGTACTCGTCGCTAAATTGTTGTTGTGGTCTGGTCGAGAAACTAATAGTCCTGACGCAAGAAGGCGGAAATCAGAAGACCACTAGGTTTGCGATGATACTTCTATTTTCCAACACAAGGAGAATGCAATAAGTGGTATCACACCAAAGTAAGTGTAAGTAAGTAAGTCACACAAATTGTGAGAACGAAATATATATATAGCAAAATATAGCAGACATGTCAACAACCACCATATATGGATATATGTCACTAATCAACAGACTGTCAACAAACACTCATATTATATATAATATAAGGGGAATATACATTGTTAAAGGAGACAGGTTCATACAAGTGAAATGGTCACAGACTAAGAGAGCAAACAGAAAGAGAGACCAACATACACACACATAAATATATATATGTGGATACATATCAATATTTGCGATTGTACAGCTATGAAAGTGAATTCGCCGAAAAGAGACTCTTCGCTGAACTACTGGTCTTCTGTCTACTAGTGTTCTAATGGGAATTATTCATGGATATGAAAAATCACAAGGAGTGAATGCATTGAGAGTGGAAGACATGAAAAGGCTAGCTGTCTTTGATCACAGGTGCCTACGTTCTATCTCCCGTGTCAGGTGGTGGTATAATAAGGCGAGCAATATTGAGGTTAGGCATCAGTCGAGTGCTAGGTAGGCGGGAGGGGAAATCAATCGACGAGGCTGTGAAGTTACACCGATTGAGATGGTTAGGACATGTGTTACGCATACGTACCTAGTCATCGCCTTCCTCGACTGGCGGGCTATGTTAGCTGACATAGGGTCAGACTGGAAAACAGTTAGCTAGTGGTGGTCAAACCAAAACATCACCTCATCAGTGAATGAAATCCACAACAGTTAGTTTAAGCTAGCCACATAGGAAGATGCAGACTTCCTGGTTGGGGTCCTTGGGACGGTAACCCGGTCGATAACTGCTACCTTGTCATGGTGGTCGGGCTTGAATACCGTAATGACCCAACATGCTAAACTGACTGTGACTCTGTCTCTGCAGGTCCTACCATGTCAGGAAGGTTGTTTGGATAGCGGTGGTTAAACTAAAAGCAGTTACCATAGGGTACATGGGCTCCAGTATCCAATCGGATCTAATGGCATATGAACCCATATAGGTCGTCACTGGAAACCATGGGAATGCAGCTCCTGACGCTGCTCCGCTGCCTTGCGGATTAGACTGCAAGTTAAAGGCTCGCTGGGGGGGTAGTCCCTTAAGAAAACCACCTGCTTCAGTCTGGGCACCCGGGCAGTAGTATCTCAGCCCTCACACAATGAATTGAGTAAAGCAACAAACAATCAATGAAACTTATCGCGTGCTATTACACGTGTTGCAGTTTCCTTCTTTCTTCCCTTCCCGATGATAGTTAACGAATATTGTTTGAACTTGTTAAGCAGGACTTTTTTCCCTCCAGATGAAGTTCTTTATCCGTTCTCTACTTATATATATATTCTCTTCTTTCTTTTTTTCTTTTGATCTATGTTGTTTTATTATTATTGTGTGGCGCATCCTTCTTGGTGCCATATTGTACCAAGTTTTTATGCGTTTAAATAAATAAATAAATTGGGACGGTAAAAACCAATGGTTGGAAACAATTGGTGATATGGCTCAAACTCATCGTTCTCAATGGCTGATGCAGATGCATCCACTCCTTGTGACTTATGATTTCCAGTGAAACTATATTGTTCTTCGTTATTACTACTTCTTTGTCTTACACCTCTGTTTACTGTCTCTATTATGCATTTCTTCCACTTTCTTCTGTTGCTTTGTGTGCTACATGGAGGGGGAGTGGCGAATTGAACTGGTGCATATCGGTGCAAAGTTCTATGTCGAAAACAGACAGACAGAATGCATCTGCGCCAGCCATCACCGAGAACGGTTTTGAGCCATATCACCAATTTTCTCCAGGCTTACACTCCTGAGGACCCCAACCAACCAGTCAGGAAGTCTACACCTCCCTGTGTGGCTGACTGAAATTAGCTGATATGGATCCCATTGATTGGTGAAGCCTTGTCTTTGTGTGGCCACCACTGGCTCTTTCCCGACCTGATCCTATATCCCCTAACATAGCTTGTCCGTCTAGAAAGGGGACACATCTAGAAAGGTGTAACACATCTTCTTCTTACTATCTCAATCGATGTAACTTCACGGCCTCATCTATTGGATTTCCCACTCCTTATCTAGCACTTGACTGATGTCTCACCTCAATATTACTCACCTTATTATACCACTACTTAACACGGAAGATAGAACGCAGACACTTATGATCAAAGACAACTAGCGGGCCTTTTCGTATCTTCCACTTTCAATGCTGGCCGTGTCTCACAGCCAACCTGATATCACGTCTAATAAGCCAGAGACGGCGTGAGTAGGCGGACATGTGCCAAACGAGCCTTCTGTATTCGTATATCTGAAGTATCGTCAATGACCAACTCTTTGGGACTGGCTAATGCAACTTCCTCTTTCAATAAGTGAAGTGGTCAATACGCTCTTCCACTTCACTCACTCGCTATATTTTAGATAGTCGTTAATGTTGTCCACTCCTCTAGCTATATGAGTACATACACTTAAACACACCCAACTATACAATGTACTGGGATAGGATGACAGTTTTAAAATCTAATGTAACAGTATGGTAGAAGGAGAGATTGATAACGGAAGCCTTCATTTATCGAATCAACTGAAAGAGAATACGCGTAATTGGGATAATTGAACACTGTCCACTTGAACATCTAGAAAATTCTACTACCCCTACGAGGACGAATAGCAGAGAACAACGAAAATTACAAAAAACGAAAGTTTCAAAGTTGCATAGTTATAATTGACGATATGATTATGAAGAGTGCGTCGGTTGGCCAAAGCTAGAACGCTTGCCAACCATGAATCTCGTCCGGGTTTCGATCTCCACCCGACGCACTTCAAAAACCTCTGTTGACCGGGTAATGTAAGCCTGTTAAAGAGGAAAAATTGTGCATAAAGCTAGCAAACCTCATCTTGTAAAAATAAACACCACTGCTACCAAGACTTCAAGCCTCTAGCTTGAAGGTGTATGTTCCACTGAAAACTCGAAGGAAGGGAAAAAATATGCTATAGGTTGTGTTCGAAACCTTGTCATCCAGAAGTTAGCATTCATGGACTGGCCATTGGATCGGGTGCCAGGGCGTTAATGGTCTACGAGCTAGCTCACCTTGTAACCAGAAGGTCGTGAGTTCGAATCCTAGCTGTGGGTGTGTTATGTACTGCTGCCGAGTGAGTTATTAGAGTTTCCCCGTCACCAGTTATGTTATGTACTCGTCGAGTAGTTAATAGTCCTGACACGGAAAGAGGGAAATCAGAAGACCACCAGGTTTATGATGATACTTGTATTTTCCAGACAAGGAAAATAAATGTCACACAAGAGTGTGAGTGAAATGGTACAAGTGTACGAAAAAGTGTGTGAACAAGAATACAGTACAAAAGTATATATGAAAATGGCTAATACACATGAACCAATAAATAGCCAGTTTTAACATGATTGGTTGTAATGTCATGTGACAACAAGGTCATGCATGTCTATTTAGTTAGTGGACAGACAAAAGCATATTGTCAGTTATAATGAAATATCGATCCATATACACATAGCAAAATCTAATAGACTGTCACAAACAAAACACACATCATGTGGATACATATCAGGATGTGTACTGTGAAGAGTCCCAAACTAGGAAAAAACAGCTGCAGGTTTTCCAATGGTTCTCTAACTAATGTCCGGTAACCAATCAAATACCTACAAACCAACACTTGAATATCAATAAGATGCTCACTAGCGACTGGCCCTATTCAGGTAGGTTCCAGTGAGAAGTCATGACCAGTAGGGTGCAGCAGGTCGAGTGTGAGGACATATACTCGCCGAAGACATTGGCTAGGGGTCGCGCTATGTCGTGAATTGGCAGAAGTTAGAATTCATGGGCTGGTCATTGGATCGGGTCCCAGTGGCTTAATGGTTTACGAGCTAGGTCGCTAGCCTTGTAACCAGAAGGTCCTGGGTTTGAACGTGGTGGTGGGTGTGTACTGATTAAGAATCTGAATCTAGGACGACAGAAACAGCTGGCTATCCAGTAATCCCCGGCTGGTTTTCCAATGATTCTCTAGCCGATGTCAGCTTATGATGAAATCTTGTAACCAATAAACAGGTCGTGTTTCATTCATGAATGCCCTAGTGTCATACACATCCTAACTTTTGTACACTTTTTAATTCTAATTTTAATAACTAAATAAACTGCTTCTTCATGTTTGTTTTAGACGAAAGAAGAAGTGTATTCGTTTCTTGACAGATGCAGAATATGAAGAAGACAATAATATACTGCCTATCTCTCCTATATCCTCATCATCACCAAATACTGCCGCCAACTCGTCGAAGACTACACCGACTGTAGCAATAACGGCAGCTGCGACTGGAGCAGTTAACTCAACTGTAACAACACAGACAAATTTACCGCATTATTGTCCTATAAATCAATTCCCAACATCATTACCATCAACATCATCTAATGGTGAGGTGGTAAGCTGCTTGAATATGCTAAGTAGTGGTGATCCGGTAGTAGTCTATGGACAAATTATCCGCCTAATATACTGCATCACCCTCTCTCATTAAATAATAATAATAATAATGATTCAACTCGGGATGATGCTATCAATGAACGTTTACTGACGACTTATATGTCAAGAAATTCGCATAGTATAGCTGATCTTACAACTCCGACAAGTACAGTCTCATCGATGATGACAAGTGTTCAAATAGGTGATAATGATGAGGATGACGGTGGTGATTCTTGTAGTAGACCTGAAAAATCCTTTAAAAGAAATTCAATTAACAAGAATAGTAATAATAATAATAATAACTCAATAATACCCTCCTATTCAACAAATATGCTATCGTCTTCTGAATCGTTGAATAATACTAATAATAATTGGTCATCCGTATATAAACATGCAGTTTATCCGTTAGTTGAAAATACTTCTTCTTCTTCTACAGCGGCTATACTGAAATCGAATCTTTTACTTCTTCAAGATACTTTTAAACCAGCGAAAATATCACCTTCAACATCTCCACCACTACCAGTGTCGTTACCCTCTGCTGCGTCTGGTGGTAGTCTACTTTCAGTGCCGCCTATTCCTACATCACTACCGCAGCCGCCGTTGCCCCCACCGTCGCCTATTCATCTTCCGATGTCTACATCATCTGAAGATGTGAATTACTGTGGATCATCATCAACACTTTTGAATACTATCACTAATACTACTAATGAAAGAATAATGATGAAGATGGCTATATCGAATCCTTCGTATAATAATTATCATGAGAAGTATTCTAAGACGACAGTGATATCCTGCAGTACCAGCAGTACTCCTTCTTCGTCTACTACTGCTACGACGATTGGTACTCATGCCTCATCGATTGTTGCTGGTGGTAGTAGTAGTAGTAGGGGTTCTACTGTTGATATTTTTTGTAAGCCTGAAGGTGATTGATTAGAAGTAATCGGGAGGCAAAAATGTCATTTCATCCTACAGTGTTGGAGAATAATAATCACACTTTGGAATTCTTCGTCTTCTTCTCCTGTTCGTTTGTCTCTCTTGCGTTTTTGCTGCGTGTGTGTGTTTCATTCAAGCGGCCTTCCTTTTCTTTTCTCCTAACTGTCACTAGTATTGTGACTGATAATAATGATGATATTATTATTATTATTATTATTTAATCAACCTAATTACAAGTTTTTAAAAACTGGTTTATATTTTCATTTATTTAATATATTTATTGATTTATTTATTCATAATATGATATGGTCATTATTCCTGTTCCACCGGTTCTGTTTTCTTGTTTGTATTTTCACATATACTATGTGTTTGTAGTCACTTTCACAGGTCGTCGTCATCAGCATCATCATGATCACGATACTCCTACTGCCGTTGCTGTTGTTGTTGTTATTATGTTAATACTTTTAGCTAGTTAAAATAACTGCTGACGAAACTAATCAAATTTTTATTTGTTTTTTTTTTTTTGGTTGGGTATCTATTTGCCCCACTTTGTTTTCCTCGACATCACTTCATCTTCATTTGTTTGTTTGTTTGTCTGTCTGTTGATTTTCGTCGCCTTGTTGAAGGGAGAGTTACATTTTTTTGCCCGCCTACCCGCCATCCGTCCAGTTTATTCGCGCCTTCGTTCCAGTTAGCGCCATTTTCTCTCTCTCTCTCTCTATGAAGAGATCTTTGTGTGTGTGTTTGAGTCTGACGGCGAGAGTCGGTGGGTGGGTGGGTGGGTGTCTGCCGGTCTGTCCGCCTATCTGCTTCAACTTGTTATTCTGTGATTATCCGTCTCACTGACTCACAATCGACTGTGCATCTACCATTGTCTGTCTGTGTGTATGTGTGCGCGCGTGTGTGCTATACTCAACGTACTGTCATTCAACTTTCTTTTGATTTTTCTTTCAATTATTTGAACGATAACAAAAAAAACCGCCGGTTTCGAACTGTCTTCACGACGACAACGACTACTAATATTACTACAATTACTGCTGATCATGAAGATCGCTTATGCAGTGCAATGCAATGCAATAGAGTATTGCCTAAATCATATTGATTTCATGATATATTCTGTTTTTATATGTTATTCTCTCTTTCGTTCTGTCCTGGTGTACTCATCATTACGTGATTTATATATATATATATATATATATATATATATATATATATATAAACAGATATTATATTCATCATGATGGAAGTGGGGAGGGGGCCGACAAATTGTTCAAAGTGGAAATTCAACTCTATTTCGCTTTTTTTTTCTCTCTCGCTCATTGTGTGTATATTTTGATCCGTATTGTTCAGTGTTACTCCTGTTATTTTCTGAAGAACCTAATATGTATACTGCTGACAAATATGATATCTATATCTATATTACATACCATATGCTGTATGGTTAATAATTCTGTCTAAAAGTGTATTTACTCCACTCCACGTCACTCCTTTCTTGCTTGCCTACCTGCCTGTCTGCTTACTTACTTAGTTAGTTACTTACTTACTTGCCTACGTACTTAATTGTGCCCCCATTGATATTGCATCATTCACGTGTACATATAAACTCATGTGCTTTGTTCTCTTCTACTGTTTGTTGCCTTACTCTTTTGCCTCTCACCCTACTTATTATCACAACTAATACTCCTGCCGGGGTTGCCACTGCTGACACCACCGTACCTGTTGTTGTTCCGCCCTCTTCAGTGTGTAATCCCTGGTCTTTTTCTTTTTTTCGTCTTATTCTAATTTTTGTGCAATTTGTAAACTTCCCCGCCCACACACACGATTTTCGTCCTCATTTTCTGATTAGGTATTATTATTATTATTATTATCCACCGCCGTCCCTAACGCGCCCTGCCCGTCACCCTTACCCTCTTGCCGTCCCCATCATCTTTTGTATTCTTTAGTGTGTGTGTGTGTGCACACATGGAGAGAGTGAGAGAGGCGAACAAAGAAAGAGCAGCTAATTGACGACTGTGTGTTAAATATTAGTGATCAAGATCTTCTTTGGTGCGCGCGCGCCCACACACACACACCTACACACACATCCATATACACGTGCGTATATGTTAATGTTTAACTTGTAATTTCTTTTTCTTTTTTTATATAGTTGGTTTATTTTTATGCAATAATGCAATCCTGAAGTGATGATTATGTAATATTAATAATAATAATGATAATAATAATATTATTATTAGGCCAATTTATCTTCATTCAATTCAATATATAATAATTATGATAATAATAATAACAATATTAACGGTAATAATAAAATAGCCCAGTGTGTGTTAATGATTTTACTAATACATTCTGAAAGAATTTGCTTTCTTCTTTTCCTTTATTCGTCTATTTGTTTTCTATCTATCCGATCATAGACAGATGTCTACATTCTATCTCCCGGTGTTAGCTGATTTAGTACGCTGAACATTACTTAGTATTGATATTATTATTCTCTGTTTAGGCTTACCCTACGATTTCCCCTATTCTATCATCCCTTCACCCCATCACAATCTCTTCTACATCACCCTAGGATTGACGTCCAGCTCGTGGTTTCTTATTTAAGTTCCACTTGAGGGGGGAGGGCTTGTCTAGTAGCGTGTTGTGTGATGTCTCTCAATGATCTCTGTAAAGAATGTGTCTGATCCAGCTGCATTTTCTTCGGTAGGTTGGTTCTTGGTTGGTTAGTTCGTTTCTTCTGAAGCCCTACGTAGGATTCTTAATAAAGCAGGAATTAGGGCGGCATTCTAACCTACAAGCTATGTAGGCTAAAAGACCCGGTGGACCCAATTAAACAAAATAATATAATTTACAAAATACCCTGCAATGACTGTGAGTTAGGTCAACTACATAGGCCAGTCAAACTAGTAGGTCCGGATTAGTCAGATTGTCGGAATATAAGAAATTTAGCTAAGGGGAGAATGGTTGACCCCGAGAAAATGAGTAATTTAGAAAAAAAGCACTCAGCAATTGCACTGCATGCATTAACAAACAACCACACAATAGGGTGGTTAGTTCGTTCTAAGTGTTTCTTGTTGCCAATTCTTTCCGACTACCTTATCTTCAGTAAAGATTTAGAGAAGGAAGTTGTTGACAAAAGTCTGAGGCGGTGGCCTGTTGGAAATGCCCTTCGTGATTCACTAAGTCTCTGAAGAATATATCGAAGCACTAGCTTGAATTTTATTCCGCAAACTGAGTGCAGAAGATTTTCAGGATTTCATTATGAACTGACATTGGTTAGAGGACCATTGGAAAACCAGCTGGGAGTACTGGACCGGTGTTTTGTCAACCTAGTCTGCGACTCTTCGTCAGTATGCCAGAGTTCGAACCCAGGACCTTATGATGACAAGGCTAGTGAGTTCGTAGACCATTAAGCCACCGGGACCCGATCCAATGACCAGCCCACGAATTCCAACTTCTACCAATTCACGATATGGCGCCAGTACTGGCGTATGTCATCTGCGGAGAGTGTTTGTCGTCACACCCAACTCGCTGTACCTCACTAGAACCCAGGTAACTAACTGCCTAGCTACCTTAATAGGATTAGTCACCAGTGATTTCAAAGGGATGAAAGTGGCCTGCTTAAAATTTCGGCTACCCAAAAACCTCCACCTAATTCAGTTTGTTTAAATTTGCTAAAATATAACCTTTAATATTGGCGAGTATTTGAAACATTTACAACCCGCTGATTCTCACAAGTTTCTACTAGGCATACGAAAAAGCACTACCCTTCTCGATGGTTGGCAGCTTATCCCAGTACATGAGATGACCGTTTCTGAGTGATGTGCTTGGCCTGCAAAATGTACCCCTGAAATTTTCATAACTGGCATTCACCAAAAAAAAACGTCGTTGTTTATTTCTTTAGGTTAAATAGAACTGTGGTTACACGATGTCTACTTTCAATTAATCTTTGATTTGAAGATCCTGGACGTAGGAGAAGTATCATGCGTTAAACTGCGCTGAAAATTTACTAACATTGTGTTCAGAATAAAGCTGTTATTGTTATTATTATTAAAGATGTATGTCCACTCTTAAGGTTCTTCTGTCAACTTTGTTGGTTTCCGCTTGTAAGTCTTCGAGTTTGTGTCACATTAGAAATAAATCATCGCCAAAATGTAGATCTTCTAGAGTCTTCCTATCGGTGGTCCAGCGTGTCCTTGTCTCTTCACTCCTCACAGTCTAACGCACAATCCAGTCCACTACAATTAAGAGTATCATCGGTGATAATAGACAGACAGCCAGCCTTGTCTTACTGCTGTATTCACTTCGAACGCCTAGCTGAGTTTTCCGTTGTGGATCGCCTGACTGACTGGTGGCGGCATTGTTATATATAGCCAACTGTTGAATGAGGTTGATAAAGGCTCAAGCACTGCACACGCCGTAGTGTTGAAAGCAGTTTCCAAATTACTTCTTTGTCAACGCTATTCTTCAGTGGGCAATACTGAGGTTAAGCATTGATTGTTAGATAAGAAGGTGGTGAATTCAACCGATAAGGTTGTGAAGCTAGGTTTGAAAAAAAAACTTAAGATTGGTCAAGTCAGGGAACGATATCAGTCCGGAAAGTCTTTGACAGTTGGTTTTAGTCTCTTATGTGCTGAGATTTAGATTCGTTGACTGGAGTCGCCAGGATGTTGAGAACCAATTGGCAGCTGGAGACTTTTGGTGATATGACCCAAAACCGTTTTCAGATGCACATTTGCTTCTTCGTGATTTCTTGTATTCACTGAAAACCCTCGCTCATTTTTTTATCTCCTTTCTGTCTTATTCCTCTGCCCTTGTGTGTTACACATGGAGTGGGACAACTTGAACTGTTGCACTCTTGTGCAAAGTCCTATGTTGAAAGTGAATTAGTCAGTCAAATCAAATTTGTCAACTCACATACATAATAAATAAGTCGTCACATGATAAAATATATGTTGAATCTCAAGCCAATAAAGCAATCGATACTAATTTTAAATTAACAA